AAAAAAAAAAAAAAAAAAAAAAAAAATTCGCAAAACCGTAAACATTTGTAAAATAATCTCTCGCCCCTTAGTTAGCTATCACTTCACTCTTATGCGATAAGTTACACGTAGTTTTAATAGTAAGTTTCACTTAATTTGCCTCGTGATCCAATGTAAAGTTTTCTCCCCAACGATCGTTGATTCTTGAAAAAATGGCCCAAGGCAACGTTTATACAATAATGCATTAAATTTGCTATGGAATTCGTGGGTTTCTTTTTCAAGACAAAACAACACCTTCAGGATCATTGAAAGAAACTCGCATCGGTGTGTACAAGTTGTTACAATATACACACACATTATATACTTGGAAATACACGCTGCACCTTTTTTTTCTCCAATCGTCTTAGTTATAAATTCTTCATCGGATTCGTCGTTACATTGAGAGCGAACAAATACTTTTTACCCAAACAACTTTCGTACATTTTCGTAATTATGTAAAAATTCATCGTGTAGAGATCGAACTAGAAATATATTTCTCGAAATCCATTAGAAACGTAATAAAATTGTGACACGTTAATTCGGATAAATCTACGATTTTACGTAACATTTACTAGCAAATAACAACCTTTTTATTTTTTTTTTTACATCAATTAAAACTCCAAAAATTCATCTGGTCTCGACGTTACACTTGACAATTTATATTTCATATACACGTGAAATAAAAGTTTGGTCGACTTCCCTTCTCAATATGAGACAACAAATTCTACTTTATAGCGCATCAAAGTCACGAGTTGTTGTTTTTGTTTTCACACTCAAGACTTGGAAAATTGACCATCGGATAACGTCACTTTGAAAAACTGTTGTATACAATGTGTACAACCAAATACCAATGCAGTAAAGATGAAACTATTGTTTTTTTTTACCTTATCAAACTTCTAAACGGTAAATTCTGTATAGTATGCAATATCGTAATTTGGTAGTGTTTCTTTAGCTTCTTTTAATTTTCGTTCAACCGGACACGAGCTGATTGAAAAGTTCGTAACGAATGCCTCGCTTTGCCATTTCCACGCCCAAGTAGAAAACACTGATTGGTCGTCGATTTAACAGCCCCAACTGCCCCCCCCCCCCAAAAAAAAAAGAAGAAAAGAAGGGGGCCAGACAAGGCGTATGGTAATTGTGCGTCAACAGTCGAGGAAGATGTGTTCCCGGGTGGGGTCAGAGGAAGCTCTAGAGCCAGCCGGTCTTGGCAGTGGCGTCGTGCCCCGTGATGGGCTCGATGCCCAGGAGTGGCTTCTGCGACGCCGAGCCGTTGCGTTTGACCGCCGTTGCGCCGGTACTGGCGCTCAGGACGCTCTCCTCGGTCGTGGAGGGCGTGAGATCCGTCACCGGAGCCGAGCTCGCCATCGCCGTCGCTGCCGCACCTGCAACGTACGTGTGTGTGTGTGTGTGTGTTTTTGGCCCGGGAAGGGGTGATTCGGAGGCGTAGCGACACTCACTAAAACGCGTGCCTTGCCTCATCGTCTGGGAATTTCGAGCCCAACAGTAGATTCTCGCTAAGTCGCGCCGAAGCCTCGGATGAGTAATTAATTCTTTTTTGTTTCAAACGCATTCACAGGCTGGCATAACACAATTACATCGTACAACTGATATAGAGCACAACGAACGAGCCAAATAAGAGGGGGTTAACGCATTTACTTGTCGATGCTCGGCTTAGGGAGTGAAAAAAAAAAAAAGTCAAACTACAAGGTATGAACACCGCTACGGTACAAATGAAAAACAAAAAGGGTTAGAAATAAGTACACGCAATTCCAGATTAATAAGCTAAAAACCAGACGCATGCGATATTATGTATGTCTCAAAGATTGTTAGATCATATTTTTTCAAACAAAATACAATGTTCCCTTTCACAGCCAATTCACTCGTTTTTTCGATTTTTATTTTTTTGTATAAATAACAGATGCAAAAAAACTAAAACATCATCTACTAAAATATATATATATAGTTTACCTACTTTCGGTATGCGCATTCGCTACGGTATATAAATATACATTCAACTTACAAGAGTAAATATACACATAGATCGGCTATTGCAGAAGCATTAAAATATTGTTAGTCTATATTATAATCACTTTCATGCAAAAATCAATAATACCTTGACGCTCGTCGCAATGTTTTTTTTAAAAAAGTTATTATTCTGCCATTCATAGTATAGAATCCGCAAAAAATATATACACACTAACGCTTACAGCCAATTGAGCGCAGTTTTATGGAAAAAATATATATGTTTTTGTTTTGTCATCTCTTAGCAAGAGTCTACTGTACTTAGTGTGCGACTGATAAAATCAGCGACCAGAAAAAACAGAGATAGAGAGAGAGAGAGCCATGCAGTCGATAGTCCAATAATGTCCCCTCGTCGCTCGTACACACACCAACAGGTCGAGGGACATTGAGATAATTTCGAAGAACCCGATGAAGAAAGAGGTAAATAGATAATTGTGAGTGTCTCCAACTCGGTTGGGAGAACCCAGAGTCGTAGATGAGAGAGATTTTATTTGTAATTATCGGTAGCGTTAGCGCAGGTCGAGTAGGCCACCGGTAGGTCTAACCTTGGTCCTTGGACCCGTTGGGCGCCTCCTCGAGGCTGGGCTGTTGGCTCTGGGTAGCCTCGTGCCTCCTGGCCGGGGCCATCTGGTGGAGGGCAATCTCGGGGCTGCGGGTCGGGACGCTGCTCGCGCGCTGCAGCTGCTGCTTCTTGGTCTGGGCGCGCGAGACGAGGGACGAGGTGGCCACCGGGTGGACGAAGCTCTCGATGGTCGTCGAGGTGCACGCGCTGTTGTTGCCGCTGCTCGTGGTCATGGCGGGTGTCGAGGCACGCGAGGCCGAGAACTTTTTGCGCTTCTTGCGCAGAGCAGCCAGAGCCGGCCCCAACCCGCTGAACATGTTGTGCCCCGCCTCGGACTGCTGCTGCGGCTGTGGCTGCTGCGCGGCTTGTTGTTGCGGCGTCTCCTGGCTGGACGACAGTAGCTGCGGCTGTGGCTGCTGGTGATGGTGGTGGTGGCGCGGGTGGGAGTCTTGGGACGGCGCGTCCAGGGAGGACTTGGAGTCCGAGGACTCGGAGCCATCCTCCGAGGCTGGCGAATAAACCGAGTCCTCCGACCGGGAACGACCAGCTGAAAAAAAAAAAACCAGGGGGATGAGCGTCATTCGTTGGGTTATCGTTGGTTGGGGTGTATACCTATGAGCCTGGAGACCCGGCCGGACTTGGCGGCCTCGATGAGGGTGCCCCACTTGCGCTTCTTGGAGCCGTTCCTCGAGTCCCTGAGCTGTCTCTGGCTGGACGCCAATCCGGGGACGCTGTTGGTGCTGGTGTGGTGGTGGTGGTGGTGCCTCTTGGAGGTGGCCCCGGGTCCAAAGATGCCGCTGAGGGTGCTGCCGAAGAGCTCGTGGTGCCGGCCGCCGGTTTGCCCGTCCGGGGTCTGGGCGTGGCCGTGCATGGACTCGGCGACGGGCGGCAGGGTGGCGCTGCTGCCCGGTTGGGGCGTTATGTTGAAGCCCTTCATCAGCCGGCGCTCCTTTTGCCGGTTTTTTTTGCCGCCCACACCTACGCACAACTCTTTCACGCTACCGTCTACGGCACAGAGAACAAAACCACCCACAGGCGACATTCAGCTAAATCATGCTCGACTACGGGCTCTAGAGGTACACGGGTCGGTCTGTTGGGTGCTCATGGTCCTTCACCCTTCAACGGTCCTCGTCACTGTACCTACTTGTTTGTTTTATTTCTCTTTTTTCGTCCTCTAAAATTCTGTACGCGTCAAAGGGTTTCTATTCGTGCACTATTTGAAATAATAAAGTTTATACATCGTGCACTCGAGCGACAAAGTAGTTGAAGCACAAAAATGGCACACCATTTCCCGTTTACGTTAGCTTTGATTGGCAAATGCGGTATTCAGATGTTTCCGAGACGATTGTCGGCAAGAGGTAAACTGCGAACCCGTTAATAAATCCGGCGATTAACTTGTGGGGACTTGGAAAGACTCTGTGTTGTTCCTTGAAGGGTTTGTAGTCGAGTCAACGTCAAATTGTCGGGGTGGGCAATTTAACCGCTACGTGCGTTCAAGTGTGCCGTTTCGTTGTGTCGTCAATTTGATTACGCTTCAACTATTTTACGAGTATTTTAAAGACGTATCATTCATAATTTATACATATAAATATAAAAAAAAAAAGAATCAAGAAAGAGGTAAGAGATCGAGCAAAAAATTACATAGCACTATGATTTTCATTATGCACTCTGTCATGCGATTCAAGGTTTTCGAATTTGTCAAGTCAAATACTAAATTTGATCATGTTGGTTGTACTACGTTTTAAAACATGTACGAGGAAGTAGTAATGAGAAAAAGTTTGAAAGCATTTTTCGACCAACTGATGTGTAAATATATTAAAAATCTCATATGGATAAAAATGATAGCCAGACTTGGGCACGATTATTTTACGGATTTTTAAACGCTTTAAAAGATTTTTTGTTTTGACTCTTTTTTTTTCTAAATTATTTTTTCTTTCATACCCTTACGCATGTTACTGCTAAAAAAATTTTTTTTTTCGAGTTTTGCTTTGCAAAAAGTATTTAAAATAAAATTCTTCTAGTTCAAATAACGTACTACATATTTAGCAAAAAAGAATTGAAAAATGATGATCCTTGCCCAAGTCTGATAATCGCGGAGAGATCACACTCTTTGGGTAACAAAACTACGACGATATACGTAACAAACAGGGTAATCCATGACAGTATCAATAATATATAGTAATCAATCGGTATGGTGGCAGGCAGTATGAAACTACACATAAAACAAAACACCAAAAAATCTCTGGAAGAACAAAGTAAAACAAAGCAGTGCGACCTCTCCCGAAAAATGTCCACCGATCGAGAATAAAGATGTTCAAAGAAGGGAAGGAAGGAAGGAAGATCCATAGAGATGGTAAAAAGAGAGAGAGAAGGAGAAAAGAATGTGAAAGGGTAAGTGACTGGTAGGACCGCGATCGAGGCCCTAGGAGCTCCTCGAGGAAACGCTCTACTCTCACCGGTACCCGTTCCGGACGTGTGGTCCGTAGCCATTCCCGATTTCTGCAATATGTTGATCAGCTCGCATCTGAAAGCGCTTATGTCCTGCTTAATCTCATTAACGTCGTCCTCGGTGACGCCCTCGTTCTCCGTTTTTCGCTGCTCAACGGTCACGTAACGGCGCACGAGGTTCCGCATGATGGTCTGGTAGCGCTGGTCCCGTTCATTAGCCTGCTTGAACTTCCTCTGCGGGACAAAGAATTGGAGAAATTGGAAGATCTGGGAAAGGCCAATCAGACAACGCCCAGGCTTATGCTTTATTAGGTTGCCAATCTTTTATCTACCACTTAATTTTCGACATGCAGCTTTACGACAATCATTATTGTTATTATTATTCATTACTATATTTACATGTGTGCCACACGTGTAACGAATACGTATCATAGCAATCAGCGAAAAGCTTCCTCACGTCCGAAATATATATCATATTATCATACATCGAGACATTAAAAGCACAATTACATTTATGTATATGCACAAACAATTAGAATCCCCGGTCACCCAGAAAAAGACCGTTCGCACACAAAGTGTCTCCCGACCGAGCGATATATCCTTCCGTAAACAAGCTCATCGTATCTCAGGCGCGATCGATAAAGTTACGGCCGATTCCGTGAGAAAAAAAAGAACGAAAGAAACCCCACAACAGACAGATAGAGAGGAAAGACGCGAGAAGCTGTCGTTAACTCACTCTGATGGTGCGCATGTGTTCCTTTTTCGCGGCTCGGCTGTGGCCGCACAGCTTCCGGTAGAGCCACTGCACGACGTACATGAAGCTCTTCCACGTGGGAATAATGTTGAAGGGCGGCGGTACCGTGCCACCCTCCTCGAAGTAACTGATCCACAGCTTACTCCGCGCAAACTTCCACTCGACGTCCGCCCGCTCCTGTCGCAACAAACAACACCCACCAAATGGACATATATGTTTTTCCCCCTACATTTGAACATAATTATATATCACGCGAGACATCGAGAGACGCTTACGAATATACACTGGTACGAGTGATTCATCATGGCTATGAGCAGGTTCAGGAGGACGACGATGTTTATGACGGAGTAGCAGCCGAACATCAGCATGCCCCAGAACCGCGTGAATATCTTGATGCCGTCCAGCTCGAAGCTCTCGAGGTCGATCAGACCGAACACCGCCCAGAACAGCGTTTGGATCGTCTCGAAGAGACTACAAGTGGACGACACGCGCGTGTGAGTATACAGTCTGATGGTATAATTAGGGGGAGGGTGTAGCTTACTTGGCAAATCTTCGCCAGACCAAGCAAGCGTTGGTGTCGTTGGAGCTCGAGTTGGCGGCCGCTTGGGTCGATGCCGTGGGACACCGCTTCTTCTCCATGTCGGCGTAGTACCACAGCAGTTGGTTCAACCCTGGCGTCCGTCGTACAAAAAAGGTATTAGCACTCTGGGGGAGGGGGGGAACCCCACGCGATAATTGGTAAATACGTATAAATAATTACCGCACGAGAAGGCGAAGAGGACGAGGACGAAGAGGAAGAAGAACTTCATGATGTCCATGACCATGCGTGACAGGGAGACCTGGAGGGGCCCGAGGTGCGGGTTCACGGAGAATATGTAGACGAGCTTGAGCGAGCTGAATATGTTGGCGGCGGAGAATAGGCCCTCGGATATGAGCATGGGGTCCCAGGTGTCCCACTGCTCGCGCTGCAGATCTAGGTCGGAGACCTGGTGGAGGCCCTCGGATTTTTCCCTCTGCACCCGGAAGTACGCCACTATCCGCAGGGCCACGGTCGCCACGTACAGCGAGTTCGTCACAAAGTCTATCACGTTCCACATGTCGTTCACGTACTCCTCCAAGCCCACGTCCCACAATTGCTTCACCTCCGACCAGATCAGTCCCGACACCCACGCCAGGATGAACCTGGGAACACGCCACGTTTAAATGTTGGTTCCAACGAGTACAATGTACATTTGTATGTATGTATATACGTACCATTCGACTATCGTAGGTGGGGCTCCTCTCTTCGTTGGTTCGACGGTGTGGTCCGAGACGTCGTAGCCCGTCCAGACCCCGATGACGCTTTCTATCCTCTGGCTAGCCAGTATCAGCATGACTGAAATATAGAACACGTGTATACCGTATCTCGGGTGGTGGATAGTTTGGCTGAGAGAGGGGGGGGGGGTGATGGGACTCACATAAAAAAGCCAGGTACGAGGCGGAATGGCAGATGAATTTGATGAAGGGCTTCCTCATGGTTTGGCCGATCTTGCTGTGCGGCGCTATGATGTAGGCTATGCTGAAAAAGGGGAACAGGACGCCGATGCGTATTATGTCCACGGTTTGCAGGATCATGTTTTTTCGGCGAAAACCCGGTAGGCCCTCGTACCAGATCGAGGCCAACAGCTGCTGGACGTTCGGGTGCGCTACGAACTGAATCATTATTTCCTCCCATCAGTACTTTGCTCTTTTCTTTATGGTGTTGTTCTAATACTATTTTCTTATATCCACGTTGCAGTTTGCAGTGACTATATTGTATAGCTTGAAAATCAATAAGAGCTCGAGCTAGTGCAGCGCGACTATTTTTTCTTCACCTACACGTATAATAAAAATAAGAAAAAGGAAAAGGTGCTCGGGAGAGCAAAGAAACAAATCATCTCTCGGGGCTCCATAAAACCCCTCGATCGGAGGTCGGCGTGTACCTTATCGCGCTACATTTATTTCTCCCTCTTTCTCTCTCTGCTCCGTGAGTTTTCGACCGAGTCACCATCCCTCCCCGCTATTAATCATTCCGCGCTCCCGACGCGACTTTAACTCGCGAGTTGTCCCACCTCGCTCTTTATTTGCCATGTACTCTCGAATACTTCCCACTTGATTGATGGATCTTCGTGTTTACCAGTGGGAATGAGCTCAATTTTCAGGCAGTTAAGAAAAAAAAACACGTGGGACGCAGCGGCTCACCTTCTTCTGGCGTAGCTTGACCGCCAGTTTGAGCCGGTTGAGGTGCATGCGCTCGCCGTGCTCGAAGGCAGGGCCCGTCGGGTCGTGGTTCAGCAGTACCTCGAGCTCGCTCGAGCTCCTCGTGTGGTCCAGCAAGGCAGTGGCGAAGTCTTGGCACTGCCGGCGCAGTTCCTGTGTGTATACGTACGGGAATTGACATGTTTAAGATTTTCTTCGGTACTCGAGGATAAGTATATCCTTCCCAAAGTTTATGTTCAAACAGACTCGTTTGTGCAGTACACGCCTCGTTTAATTCCGCAACTTTGAATCTCCGCTTTTAATGGGCTTACCGAGAGTTAGGGGAATGCTTGGCGACGCGAAAGTTTCATGGGGGTTGTTTGTGTATTTTACTTGTATTTAACTCAAGTATCTGCATTTTTTACGAAAAAAAAAAAAACAACAACAACAACAACAAAAAACAAAAAAAACGGCTCCAGGGAACATCAGCCCCGAAGCGATATTTTAAAAGTCAAAAGCATCGAGTCGAAAGAGCGCACCCCACCGCGGCTAAAGATGCGGCGAAGCCATTGCCGTCGAGCGTTGATTTATACCCCGACATAAATCAAAGAGGATCATTCGATACGTACATGTATACGTTTATAACTCGATTGTCCGGGCAAATCTGTGTTGTTCGCGCTGTAGACGACATCGTGCTGTGGACAAAACTTTGGGTCGCACAGAGCTCTTGGCTCGGTAATTTTCACCGATTAAACGTGTCCTTTCGGTCCCTCACGGGATGTGAATAATACAACAATCACCTCTTGAATTGCCGAGACGTGTATAGAGCGGTAGATTATTACTTACTAACAGACCGAAGGAGGTATGATTGACGGGGGAAGTCGGGAATTCAAGTCACCGCTGCAAGCTCGTCGCGTTTGGGTCGATGCACGCGCGACAGGTTTCACGGACACCACAGTTCGAGATTCGCGCAACCAACCGAGGTAACGCACTTTATTTTTGGTAGGAAAAATGAGACTAAAACTGGAGTTACCTGGTACTCGCACTTGAACTCGTGCTCGAGGAACGACAGCCGGCGTAGTTCCCAGGAGAGCTCGAAGGCCGTGAGTATGGGGTCCTTGGAGGAGAGGGAGATGAGCGAGGGCGAGGCGAGGGCCCTGTAGGTGTTGATGCGTTTGCGGGAGTGTCGAAGCGAGTCCTCCTGCCGCGACTGGACGCACGTGTCGCAGCCGCAGCGAACATCGTGGGGCACCGGCATCAGGGCTCCCCGGTCCAGCAGGATCTTTATGATCTCGTAGTTGTCCCGGTGCGCCGAGAGGATCAGCGGGGTTATGTCCGGCGTGAAGGTCGCCGTGTCGGTTGGCAGTGCTTCCCAGCTCTAATTACCCCGACACAGGACTCGGGGGGTTAATCGTTTGGGCTTATCGATTTTACGTTGGCTCGGCCATATTTGTTGAAACGTTTCGAGCACTTTTTCTTTCATTTAAATCTGTCTCCATCGCGAGACGAAGCAAGTCAACTCCGACCATTGATTGCGGGAGGAAGACGCGCCTGGGAGCAATTACCAATTCATTCTTGGCTCAACCGTAGTCAAACGAAGCCGCAGACTTGGTTTTTTTTTTTTTTTTTTTTTCTCTCTCGCACGAAAGCCGATTACCGCGCGTTTCGGCTCTCGCGAGCGGTAGCCCGGGCGCGTCTTATTAGCGCTCGGGGGTGATGAGAGAGTCGGGTTTTAATTAGCAGCCAGTCTAGTGCGCTACTCCAGCGGTGCTGGCGCTACTTGACTCTGGAGATGCGTTTTCCGTGCCAGGCAGGTGTTACAAAGTTGTTCTTCCCTCTACTCGTCGAGTCTTGGGACTTTGCGGGCGTGAGCCAACGTTTTCGCGTGCACAGTCATGCGGGATGGAAATTTTCGCGCAAGCTCTTTGCGAGATGCGTTTGGGTTATCGGTGTGAGGAGTCGGGGTTTACTTGGGACTTTGAAACGTTTCAACAAAATGCACCTTGTCTTTTTTTTTTCCATTTATCTACGAAACAGAAGGCCCAAATTTTGTGGGTGTATCATAACGACACGTAATCTATAGTGAGCCAAGCATTCCATAATAAGTACATTACGATTATTACGACTTCTAAAACAATTACTATAGGCACATCAAATAAGACAAGGGCAATACAGTTGGTTACTGTGTATGAACGTATGTATGTATGTATGTATGTACGTATATATGTGTGGGTATATGTACTAGAGGTAAAATAACTACGAACAGGCACATGGCACTTTGATGACACAGAGCTTCTTACGTTGGGCTCGCCCTCCCGGTGGAAACTGTCCTCGTGGTCGAGGAGTAGCTCGACCGCCTCGACAAACTCTTCGGATATGGCGTGCAGCAGGGCGTCCTTCGTGTCGACCTTGAACTCGATCAACAGACTCACCATCTCCAGGTTTTCGTTGTCAATGGCCATCAGCAGGGCCGACCTGCCCAGTGGGTCGACGCAGTTTATGTTAATCTTCGTTTTGCCCGCGTCTAATTCCAGCATCCTTTTTGTAAGAAATAAACGACAATTTCATCACAGCCGTTTCCATTGGAGAAACAAAAAATAAAATAAAATCATCGGAGAAGTAAAAGCAATTTGAATTGGAGTAAGATTTGTATTGTGGTGGTGCTGATTTTGAGGGGGACTATAAAATCAAAATCTGTGCAGTTTATTTAATAAAAGTCACTAGATGATGTAATAGAGACACGCAAAAGTTGTAAAAAAGCCTTAACTACACGATCCATACCTTTTTCGTCTCATGGTAGCAAAGACAGCCAAAATGAATCGACGCTTATCGGCATTTGATCACGAACAATTCGATGTACTTCCGCATATAATCACGTTACACTCGTCCACGTTTTAAGTAGTATAAGCCGAGACAGGTCAGACGCCGCGAATTGACGCAAATGTACTGTGCACTTATCTCATTAATTTTTCGAGCGAGTCCATATAATTTTGTGAAAAAAAAAACAACCAAAATTCCGTAGAGTTTTTTAGTCCTCCAACGTGTACCTACGTGCCGTTGTACAATGCGAATGAGGAAAGGAGCGTCCTTCCATCCCTTGTGCGCGTGTATTTATTTACGTGTAGCCAATGAAAAAAAAAAAAAAAAAAAAAAAAAAAAAAAAGTACTCTTAACCAGGATAATTACGCGAGTCGGACGCTGTATTTTTCCACTCGCTCCATCTTTAATTACATGCTTTGAATTAACATTGTCGTGGCAGGGAAGGTTAAGCGCTCATATAATTGCTCTCGCCGCGTGACTGTGTTATACGCGTCTTTTCCAAACTCCCTTTCCATACGGCTTTATGGGATAAATTAAACAGCACAGCAGCCGAGCGATAAATTTCAAAGCACCGTGTACTTTCGGCTGGGCCCGTTGGAAGAAAAAAAAAAAAAAAACACTCAGGTACGTGTGGGAGAGGGCTTTTGGGAGGAAAACAAGGTCGGGCTGGTTGAGCGAATGTGATTTACTTTCTGACTCCGGCCACGTCGCCGCGCTCCACGGCCAGCAGGAACTTTTTGTCGTCCAGCGAGAGCCGGTGTATCTCCTGGTGCGGCCTTATTACGTTCTCGTCCTCCATCATGCCGTGGATGCTGTGCCTCTGTAATAGCAAATTTTTTCCCCCAACAAAATTACATTGCGCGTCATGTGACTTTGTTTATTTTTTTCAAAGTGCCTCTGACGTCTCGGTAAACGTATGACGCAGGCTTGACAGTAACCAGAGATACCGTTGCAGAGAGCTAGAATTTGGCACTTTGTTACCAAAAGTATAATGCCTAGACGAACAAGCGAAGGGACGGCTAGTTCATCTCATCGTCAAATCGTCATGAAACTTGACAGTTACGACACACGAGTTTTCTCCACGAGAACCTCATTATGTAATTCTCCTGAGCATCCTGTGTTTGCCTTTAATTATATCACAGCGCCATGAGTGCTTCGTTCATTACTCACAATACCGAAGATTAAACACCGGTACGTTGCAACTGTGTGCTATTATTCTTTTTTCTCGAAGCATTAGAAAAAAAGAAAAAAAAATGTTTTATTACTAGAAAAGAAAAAAAAAGAAGAAAGGACGTTAGAGAGTTGGGTCGCACAATGAAAGGGGAGGAAAAATTGAAAAAGTGAGTGCAAATGAAAAGGGACGAAGCAAAAAAATAAGAGCGTGAGATTGCAGGGAGCGCATACAAATTAACCGGAAAAATGTGGCCATTGTTCGATGCGTCGGGGTTCTCGTTAGTCCCGACTCTGTTCCAAGTCAAGCTGTACAAGTGTGTATACTGCGTACATCTGAAGCTACAGCGAGTATGATGTGCTCTATTAATTCGGAGTGTCGATCGCAGAATTGCAGTTCCATCAAAAGGAGCCTCTTGGATCGAGTAAGACGAGAGAGCCGCTGTAATTACCGACAAACGTACCCCACGACTATTTATAAATTGTAATTCGCAGTGTCAACAACAAGCGCGTGTGCAATATAAATCGATGTCTCTTGTATACTAAAAGGTCAAATTAAATACTTTTATAAAAAAAATATTTAAAAAAAACTAGCAAAAGTCGTCACCAGTCTCGAGTCATAAGTATACATATTTAGCTACTAGGAGTTAATCGGAGCGCAAGGATTATTTTATAGTTCTGCAGCAACAGTGCCGACGGCTCCGACGCTTTTGTTATTAGTATAAATTTGAATTCAAGTAAAGTAAAATTGCTCTCCCAATTAAAATTCACTTTCTGTCGCTGGAGATGGAATTCGAGTCGATTATTATTTTAGACTATGAAAAACAAGTAAAAGTTTTGATGAGTTTGGTAATAACGTATAGCAGCGAAAAAACCAATAACTCTGATAATTGATGCCAGTTGCCGCGATACACCGAACTCATAGCCAAGAGCTTGCGCCGTAAGTGGCCAAGTACTCGGAAATAAAGAAGGGACATTGTTAAGAATAAGGAGAAGAGGCAGCGAGGGGTGGGTGGGATATATCCTGTATGATGAACAGCGTGTGTGCCGAGGGCGCGGCGACGCCTGGCAATTAGGGGAGCGCCACGGCAAATATCGCTTGTCCCTTTCTTCCTTGGTACGTACGTGCTTGTACGTGTACGCGGTGTCTCGCACTCGATGTCACTGCTCGGCGCTTGCTCCTCGCTCCTTGGAGAGTCGCGGAAACGAGGGGCGGGAGGGTGGATTATTCCCGAGAGAGCTAATACGGTGTGTGTCGCAAGCTTGTTTTCTTCTCGTGTATGGCTTTCTTATGGCTTCTCGTTTTTTTTTTTTGTTTTTTTTTCCCTGGACTTTAGTCGAGATGGGGCTGCTTGAGCATCGCTTTGATGAGGAGCTTTTTTTCGATGATTCATAAGTTTTTATTTTTTTATTTATTTTTAACTACATGTTCAAGTAACGTAACTTGCATTTGTTACGTTTGGAAAGTGGTGTAAAAATGTAGATCTGCACGCATTTTAATCTTGGAATATTTTTAAGCTCTCGAATAATTTTTCTAGGCGCAACTGTTGTTTGTACCGTGATCATTATTTTTCCATATTTTTCATAAGTATTCTCAACTTTTGCACAATAATACTCTCAAGAGGGATTTCGTTTCTACGGATACTAGAGCAGAGCAAGTTGTTTTTTCTAAATTTTTATTTTGAATTTTTCATCTTTATATTAAAACTGCCTTGAAATTAATTCCAGTTTTCCATATGGCCCTTTAAAACAAAAGATTTGCCGCTTTTTCATATAAATACGTAAAACTTATGTTTTTCACACGTAGGAGCTTTATTGGAACGAACGTTTAATGATAAATTTATCCTGTTTGATTTGATGTAATATAAAGGAAAGCAAACAGCGTAGCATTAGGTATGTTGTGAATCGTAAAAAAAACATCATCAGATTCCACAACTTGAGAAAGAAAATATTTCTGATGGTATAACTCAACAACGACGCACAAAACTTTTCTTCCCCATGTATGTGGGACATAACGCCAAAAGGAAGCTGAAGATAGAGGGAAACAGAACAAAGGCTAATGAGGATCGGCCGAGGAAAACACGGGGTGAGGCAGTGCTTCCTGCGGATCTGATATATATTTTTTTTCTAGGTCAATAGTGCGCGTATACCATGCAGTGTACGGTAATGCAATCTCGTATCCCGTACTGATTGATGTCCTCTCGGTGCTTGTGATTTTGCGTTCCTCCATTATTTATCTTCCTTGTTTTTCTGCCGCGTAATTTCCTACGAATGTTGATAAAGCTTAAGATAAATCGACGGCGGTCAGAGCGGAAAGCTAAGCTTTTTGTACATTCCCTCTTATGTGCACCTTTTTCGGAATCATTTGTCAGTTTTCCGTAATTTTTTTATTTAATTGCGGCTATCCGCTCAGCTGCAATACTTGATTTGTCATCTTCACACGAAAACACGATAAAATTGAGCGATGAACGCAAACAAACAAGCATAACAACTTTATGGATCTCTTGGATCGTTTTTTTTTTCTTCAACTACAACAAAAACAATAAGATTAGAGGTGATGAAATTGCGTAGAGGGTGAAGAAGGCCTGTGCTCTGTCACACTTAGTACGGAGTTAGGCAGAAGCGATGACTTAAACTCGATCGCGGGAATCGAATTTCTGGTGCTTCGGCACGGCTAATTCAATTTCAATGAGATGCTGGTTCGACAATTTTTACTTTTTCTCGCTGGCCTTTTCCTTCTCTTCGTCCTTTGCCTACAGCAGCACGGACAGCGCGTATTTTAAACTTACGAGGAAATTGAATTTTGTAGGATGAAAATGCCAAGGTAATGAATATTTCAGCTTTGAGTAAACTGTTTCACAATGTTCGAGCAAATAAATTAAATTTAAAAGGGGCGCATGAAAGGTTTCATAATTAATATGTAAAAGTGTTCAAGCAAAGATTGTTGCAATCGAAATAATTGTATGAATTATATTTTCACATACGAATATCACAGGCATTTGAATGAATCAAAAACATGTAGTTCAAGTGACTTGTTAAGTATACTACGTAACTATAAATTGATAAGTTGTGTGCATGTGTTTACGATTTTTATTTAATTATTTCATAAACACGGCTCATTTTTTGGATAATTAAGAAATAAAATTTTTAACTGCTATATCAGATGCTAAAGTAAATAAGCCTTCTATCTTTTGTACAAGAGCGACAACTCAAATTAAGTAGTAGTAGAAGGTTATAGTCAGGCAAGCTAAAAAATTTTTTTTTATCCAGTCTGTAGAGATATTTTAAATTATTACTTCTGTTTTTTAAATCTTTGAGCTGTAATACATATCGAAATACATCTTTTTTTATGGATGATATGTAAAGAAAATTCAAATCAAGTAGTAATAGAAGTTTGTAGTCAGACAAGCTAAAAAAATTTTTTTACTCTGAAGAGATATTTTTAATTATTACTTCTGTTTTTTAAATCTTTGAGCTGTAATACATATCGCAATACATTTTTTTTATGGATGATATGCAAAGAAAATTCAAATCAAGTAGTAATAGAAGTTTGTAGTCAGACAAACTAAAAAATTTTTTAAATTTAGTCTGAAGAGATATTTTGAATTATTACTACTGTTTTATTATTCTCTGTGTTGTAGTACGTATTGAAATATATCTCGTTTCCAAGATAATATATAAAAAAAATTCAAATCAAGTAGTAAAAGAAGGTTACAGTCATCTTTTGACGAACGGCATTTGATATCTTTGCAACTGAGGTGCCTATTCCTGAGTTATGGAAAGGGACGCTGTTGCCGGACGCGTGCCAGTCAAACGGCGACTACGAGACGCCTGGTATCTGCGACAGCGAAACGTTATTAGAAACATCCCCTTACACATACATTTGCCATTTGGATCCAAAGAGACATGGAGGCATTAGCAAATGAATGGAAATGAAACTGAGCATACGGAAGTGGTGAGCGTGTGCACACAGAGGAGTCTATTGTCAAGCTCGCGAGACTCGATCCGAAGAGCCTACGGTGTTTGCGAAAACTGAAAGGGAAATGTGAGCCAAGATGGATGTCCTTCTGTTTGTAATGGTTATGAATATCTCCAATAATATTATGCTTAATTTTCAGATCGCGTGGGGAGCCAACATTGTAAATGCATTGGAGGTACAGTCCTTTTATATCGTTTTTTGGGGGAAAGGGACTGGCGGTGCTTAAGTGATTAAGTGCGTACTAAAAGTGATGCAGCTCTCAGCTACGACGAGTTTATGAGGCGCGTGGAAAAAATGTTTACGTGGTGACTGTTTGGAGGGTAAATTTGTTGTGGACGAGCCAATAAAAGTGGAGGGACGAATTAGGCACTCGTTCAAATTAAAAAAAAAAAAAATTTGTTATTGGATGGCTCGTAAAATTTTCAATTAAGGTAAAAACAAACTCGAGTTCCGAGAACGAAATCAAGTATTAAAATGTCTTAAGAGGAGCGTTGTGGTGAGAAAAGTTTGCTAAGTAGAATTTGACTTGGAGTATGCACGACAGTTTAATGCCTATACTTATCGAACTAAATTAGGTGCAAAGAATATTTTAATTACCTTAGACAGCTAGCGCGTAAATATCTGAATATCGTTTTGTGCATCATATATATTAATACATGTCCAATTAGTGATTAATAATGTCAGTCATGTATTACATTTTAAGTAAATTAATTGTATTATACTTGTATAAAAAAAATGAGCTGAACTACAAAAACAGTTATAAAATGTTGTTTCACTAAAAGATGGATTACAAAGAGTGCACTTGGAGGACACAAACATACTGTGGTGAATTAACGCTCGTTAATTTTTTTCATCCCAGCGTTGCTACGGCTCATGTAAATATCTTTAAAAGATTCGCGTCTAGTTAATATTCATTTGCAAAATAAGTTGTAGAGCAGAGAATAAAGTGACAAGATGGAATAGTGGCTGGTTAATGGAGATGATGATGGATCGTGTACTTGATGTAAATGCATGGTGTATTATTTAGCGCGCCGTGAAAGCATATCTTCACCGCGACGAGTATAGCTGGTTCATTTACAATCTTACAATACGTAGTGTGGTTCGTTAAGTCGTGTGTACTGCTACTCTTGTTAACATTACTTGTTGAACTGAAATTTTCAACTTTAAAAGTATTACTTTTTTTTTAATTTAACACATGCACTATATAATACTGATAAATAAATGAATACGTTGATGTGTAAAGAAAAAATGATGAGGAAAAGTAAACGTGTTTTACTCGATAAGGAAGAAAAAAGTGTAAGAGTTCAGAGTAAAAAAAAAAAAAAAATGATAATAGAAAGAGAGAGGATTGCGTCAGAAAAAAGTCAAAGAGAAAGGAAAGCGAAAAAATAATAGAAAAATAGAGCGACATATGGTGGGAGGAAAGTTTCGCAACGGATTTAACGTGGAAACTTTTCCGCAAGTTGGATCAACGATGTTGAGGTTGTTATCGTGTTATCTACACTTTTTCTTATCTTTCTGGGGACGTTTTCTTTCTTTTTTTTTTTAGCAATAAACCGAAATTCAATTACATTCCGCGCCTAGTTGAATATCATTAAATACATATTTCCAAGCTTACGTAAGAAAACAATTTTTTTTTTTACACTACAGAAGATGCAGCACTAACCTTATGCTTTTCAGAGAAAAGTTCCTCATGACGCATATGCATTGTTTTTTTTGTTGCTGTTATTTTTACCAAGTTATAAAATTTCCAAATTAAATCAGATTTTTCACAAAGAAATTTACTTGAAAATACAATAGCTATAGAGCACAATGCAAAATGAAGGAGGCTTTGAAAATACCTTCTTACTCGAGCTCTTTCTTGCAATATCGACGCATAGTTACGAAACAAAAACACTTTAAAGGCCACTTTTGAAATTATTCACCTTTCCGTAAATTTTTAAGACAGCTAGGCTAAGCAAAAAAAAAAAAAAAAAAAAAAAAAAAAAAAAAAAAAAAAAAAAAAAAAAAAAANAAAAAAAAAAAAAAAAAAAAAAAAAAAAAAAAAAAAAAAAAAAAAAAAAAAAAAGAATGTTCAAACGAGTGCAAGTTAGTCGTTAAAAAATTCACTACTCGCATCGGACAAAAGTACTCGGAATGTTTGCCTATACTCTCTGCAAGGGTCCTCAAACATTCAAAAGCTACTTTTCCAAGGACATCCCAAGACGCCGATCTCTCATTCCACTTAAAGTACCCTACAGTTATACCAACATTGCGAAACCCATGGAAGAAGCCCCACGAGGGGAGAGATCGACACTCACCTTGACCTTCTTGTCAACGTCGGGCTTCTCGAGGAAGTTCATCTGCTGGGAGGGCCGATGGTAGGGGTTGGGCAGCCCACCACCGGCCGACCCGGGTAGCACACTCGGCTTGAAACCGGGGCTGGGGGGTGCCTCGGGGTCGAAGTTGACATGGCCGGGCGGTCGGGAGCTCCTCGCGAGGAGGCCCCGCGGCCGACTGCTATCGGCCATCCTCAAGTGGGTCGCTGACGTTGTGAGGGCTGGCGTGGCTGTCGTCGACGAGCTCGTCGTTGGCTGCTGCAGCTCGGTGCCTCCTTCGCCACCGCCGCCGCCGCCACCACCAGGGGATCCCGTGCCCCTGGTGAACTGATCCTCATCTTCGCCCGCGCTCTCTGTCCGGGAAAGAAAAACAGACAACTTTTTTTAATACCACGACGCATCGTTGCAATTTGTTTGTTTATTTTCTTTGGGGGGTTACAGGATATGTTCGAGATAAGGGATGGTAGGGGGTTGGAGGAGGGGAGATTATTTATGGGGTTTTTTGTTGCCCGTGGGTGTATCTTCGAAACGAGGAAATTTCACGCTTGTGCGTTCGATGAAGCGCTAGTTTTGTGATTTGATTTGGCGAGAGAATTAAATTGACACGCGACTTTTGTTATCTAATCGTAGGTGGGAAACTTTTTGTCCCTCGCTTCCTTATCCCTGTTTCCTTCGATGGCTTCGTAGATTGAAGTTTTTACAGTTTTCTGAAACCCCAAAGATCACGGAAATAGGATCGCCGTTCCTCAATCGTAATCGCTTTGTAGACCATAAATCCAATTTTTCTTTTTTTTTTTCCGTCTAAATCGTTCATCCATCCATAGTACTTGCAAATTTATCGGTCCTACGCATGTAAAATTGGCATTACCGCGCGAATCTTTTTTTCACGCACGAAGCATAGCTAGAGAGAAAACACACCATTTCCCAATGTAGTTACGTCAGCACAGATCTCCTAGATTGCCCACAGCGAGGCATTGAAATTCTGATCACATCCGCACCCTCGAGAGCGATACACGAGCGCGCCACGCCTGATGTCGTAAAGCTGACTCCCTCCTGGTTAAACCGAAGCAGCGACGGACGGATGATAATATAAGGCCGCGGATAAGCCGGTGGGGGAACAAATGCAGAAAGTGCCAGGAGACAAGCAAACGAGAACGAGCAGTGTTTATCGCGAGTTGTTTGCAGATACGGTCGTGAAAAAAGAGAGGGATGGAAAATCGACAGCTACTCTTGCGCGAGGCATGACTTGGGGAAATCCCGCGTTTTACGCCAAGGAAATTTCACGTTGTTATGTTTAGCTTTATCTAGGAAGCGAGTGCCTAATTTTACGTGCTGATACCGAGTGCGTGTCTCGCCTTGTAAGCTCATTCCACGGCTTAATTTTACGGGATATCCTACAGGTACGTTTCGATTATGCAACAACATTAAGACTCCTTTACACCACTGAGCGAGTGCTCATTTTTTTTTCCCTGTGTGTATACATTTATTAAAAAGAAAAACATACAGCAGCGTGGAATATTCTACAGAATGTTTTGTCGTTACGCTGGGGGGAATGGCATAAAGGGCACTAGAAAAAAATTACTCGTTATACCCAGCGAGAGCGGGAAGGAGAGATTAGGCGAAAAAAAAGAGAAGAAAAAGAAAACACGAGAGAATATCGTGTCGGTGATCATTAGAAACTATGGTACTCTCTCTCTTTTTCCGCGTTATCGTTTCTTCTCATACAGCTGCTCGTGTACGGTTATCTCTTTGAAAATACCTCGAGTTCGTTGTATCGCGCATCGTAAACTTTGTCGTATTTTTTCTCTTATTCTTTCGAGCTATACCTTCAACATTTTTTTTACAACCCCACTTTGTCGAGCAACAATTTTCAGGTCCAGCGAATCCAAAGGTGACGTTTAAAAATAGTAGTCATACGCAGCTTTTCGTGCCAGCACCCCTGCACGAATACGCCGACGTGATCCACGGTCATACGCTTCCGAAACGGCGCGAGAAGGAGTTGTTAAAAAGTGCCTAACTCATGCGAACGTCTTCCTTAGCGCCACCGCCACTGCACCACTCTCCTTCGCATCATAACGTCGCGTCATCAATCTTCGGTGGGCCAAAGTGCGCTTATCTCGCCCCTCCTCATCCCCCTCGGGCTTTTACGTGTGCCCGCGTGTCTGTGTGCGCATGTACATATATTTGCGGTGCCACCTGTGTATACACACGGCAGCTGCGTTATTACAGCCACTAGGCGACAAGATTCACGACAGAGGTTCAGCGCTCGGAGGAAGGAGTGCCTACACGTAATATTACACGTATAGCGAAGGAGGTGGATACACCCCGTGGATTGCCCAGAATGAACCCTGTGTGGTCTTGTGAATATTAAAACACGCGCTTAGGCCACCGACTGCTGTTGTCTGATGTGTACATGCAGTGGGATTAAAAAGTCGCTTCAAACGACTCTGCTGATACTGCACGGAAGTCGAGGGATGCCTTTGTCTAATGCTACTGTGGCCTGTACATGTGAAAGACGTAAAGTGTGGTTTTGAAAATATAACCACCAATTTTACAAAGCATTTTGAAGGTAGAAGCGAGGACGATACATAATATATAGGCATCACAGGAGCAAGACTCGCGTGGAAATAGTCGGTTATTGACACACGTGGGTGAGAGCTTTCGGTCGATCGGGCGATAACGCGAGTCAATACAAACAGATGGCTGCATCAGCGAAGCGCGACAATCGACGGCTAGGGTAGCGCAGGGGGTCCCTCAAATTAGCTCGAATGTCGTATGGTGTTAGGGAGGAGTTGGCTCGTTGTTCCGACCGAGCAAAGTTTTGGAGATCGACAAACACGCGACGCGCTCGCTCGACTGTGCGACAATGGATGGTACGCCTATAGGACAATTGCCATAGTACCCTGTCGCTCATTATTGCGCCGGTAAAACGCGTTTACGACGATACGGACGACTACGGTCTTTTGGGGATGATGAGGGACCGTAATTACGCTCGATCGATCGACCGATGATTTTCACCGGTATACGGCCTGATTGATGCCGCGGTGTTAACGAGGTCTTTTGACTCCGTTGAATATCTGCGGCCAATTAATTCTTCATTGTGTGTATACCCCATACTCGTTTGGCTTTGATGGCAAATTTTGTTTTTTTGGGAAATCTAGTGGTTTGTTTTGATCTCAACTTTTTATCCCGAGTACCTACAATGTTTACTACCTGTACGGTATGCATCAAATTCATGCAGTCCTTTTTTCAAAGTGAAATCCCCCCCCGAAACATATATGGCAAACAACTCGCACTGCAAACGTATTTTCATCTGTAAACACGAACGTTTATCAGAGAAATGTGTTTACTTATTTTCCATGCGCATATGATACACATTCATTTTACGCGTTTTCTCTTCACGAAGCGCATACATGAGGCTTCATGACGAAGGTTGTCGTGTTACTCGAGTACCACGTGGATTTCAATTTTTTCTTTTGCAACTACAACTTTGTCCTTCTCGCTGCTGGTTTATTTCGCGAGGACTGTATTTATGCTCGTGGGAGCTTTACGGCCATTCGGGGCTGTGAGATTTTTCACGCGATGAGGTGATTACTTTTTGGTACTAGGGACTGTAATTTATTTTAACGACACTCTTGGGTGCGTTTATTCGGTTGTGAAATTTTTCGAAACTTGCACTGTTATTTCGATTTTAAGCTTAAAATTCTTTTTCTTCAAGTCTCACGTCACACTGTGTACACAACGCGTTTATCCATATCGTATCATCGTATTCACAAACACAAGCGTAAACGTGTCAATCAATTTATCTAATTTATAGGGATAGATTAGTTGGCTATTTTCGTCTTTGAGCCATACGTACTCGTTACACCTGTTGCTTTTTCACGTATTACTCGTAAATGCTCGGTCATCGTATGTATGGCCTCTCTTTCTTCATTGTGAGTTCAAATTAGTACCACGATCGATAACAGCTGTCATTTGACATTAGGATCAATTTGTATTCTTCAACTTTATTCGTTTGTATCGATTTGCTCATTTGTATTGCAGATTCGAAGGTTCGTTAGTTACAATTTTTTACCAACATCTCGTAATAATATGCTGACGCAATGAACGAACAGTTGACAAGTAGTATAAAAGCAACTGACACTAGGTATTCCAATATTTCATTCAAAAGCCAGCTTATCGCGTTGATAAGATTATGAGGCACCAATTCCATAATTACTATGTATACGTACGTATGCGTGATGTATACAATTATACATTGTATATCTACAGTTGGGCTCTGCTAATACTGGTGTGCACTTGTAGGATCGGAAATTGCCAAAGTCTCGAGATCAATGTCGCTCCATCTATTCAGGTCGACTTTGAAGTAAAGTTCCCACTCTCTGTACATCTATCGGTGTGTTGCTCTAAATAGCACAATGACGCTGCTAAGCGGAGGTATCTAATTGCCGGCTTACAAGTATACAATTTGACAAATGAGTTGTTTGTATTGAGTAGGCTTGCCAAGTTGATGATGATGATAAATACCAAAAAATTGATGTCATTACGTTGGTAGATGACTTCCTCAAATCATACTCTATTCCACCAATTTAAATTTTCAATTGTGCCTAATACTTTTGTACTATTTGATTAACGTTACAACAAATCGAAAATATCATACACTGGCTAATAATTTTTAAAATTAAATTTTCTAAAAAGTATGCCTACTGTATGCAGTATCAGCCATCAGAAAGCTCTGAATCAATCGTGCAATCAACACACGACGTTTTTTAATATTACAATGGGAAGTTTGGAGGTATTAAGTTTTATAAAATTGCAAGTTAATGTTGACAGGAAGTTGTTTTTTATCTATCATTTGAAAATAATCATAGATTGTTGTCTTAAATATAATATTATACGATTCTAAATTAATTGTTTTAAAGTACTTTTAAAAAATTAGGCTGTAAAAAAGAAAAGTATCAAGAATGATTCATATCAAGTTGTTTTATTTTTGCAATAATTGCATGTTCTCAATTACTGGGTATACATATTTTTTTATTTATCTTTCCAACTGGATGATGTAATTCTTCTTGCATCTTTAAATAACTGTTTTAAGTTTATTTTTATACATCCATAAACAGATATTTGAACAACTGGACAACATAAACGTCAGTGTAATTCACTTTTTTGACCAGCTAGCAAATAAAGTCCACCGTTCGTTAAACAAAGTGACCAAGATTAAAAACGCCAGTCTGATTTTCTTTACAGAGAAGCAAGTAGTAAAAGTAAAAAATTAGTCAGAAAAGGCACCTAAGGTTGAAAACGTCTCAGTTCATGTTTTGGAGGTGTAGAAGTCGAGTTTCGGTCAGTAGGA